AGCACCACCTCTTAAAATTCAGAAGTGAATTCAGACTTCAGACTTTAGCACCTCTTAAAAAACAAACACCACCTTAATGAATTGTATTAAATCTTGATAGGGCATATTGGCTAGAATGAAATTTGTTGGGCCATGAAGGGTCGTATTGGACCAGTGATCATTAATGAACCTTATTTGATCTTCATGGGCTTTAGTGGATGGTATGAATCGTAGGAGATCTTAATGGGTTTTAGTAGCTTTTAATGAAGTTAATGGGCTTAAGTGACTTCTCATGAACTATAATGGGCCTTGATAAATCATATTGGATTTAGTGGTTGTTATTGAACATTATTTGGCCTTTATGGGTTTCAGTGGCTCTTAATGAACTTAAGTAGGTCTTGATTAACTTTAGTGACTCTTAGGGGGTGTTTGGTTCATGGAATTTGGTGGAATTGGAAGGAATTGGAATGTCCAAATCTTTGACCAAATTCCAAATCTCATGTTTGGTTCACATAATAGATGTGAAGGAATCCTTCCAATTCCAACCAATTCCATCCAATTCCTTAATTCATTGATTTCACAATTCCATCGCATATACCACGGATTTCAAATTCCAATCCGACAAATTCCTTAGCCTCATCCATTCATCGACGTTGTATCTCGATTTGCTCTGTTCTGCTATGCTCGATCTCCTTTGCTCGATCTCACTTAAAACTAAGAATGACAACGGGCCAGGTTCGGGCCGGTTATTGGTATCCCCGTCCCAGAAACCGATAACTAAAACTGTCTCCATGACCGCCCTGATCCCCTTCAGGGATCTTATCGAGTCCCGCGGTTTCCCCGATTCCCGTTGGGGAATTCATGAAGGTAAAAATCCTCTTTTTCCCGTTCACCGTTGGTTGTAACCGAACCTGAAACCGAAACCCGAAACAGATCTAAAAAACCCCGTTAAAATCCCCGAATTTAATATATTATATATATATATATGTGTGTATATAAAGTTAAAATTAATATATATACACATATCAAGCCGGGCCGGCCGATGATCACCGTCCCCGCCCCGTCCCTGTTAAAATCCCCGAATTTGTCCCCAATCCCCGCCCCGTCCCCAATAAGATGTCCCCGAACCCAGCCCGAAAGTTTCGGTTTCAGTTTTTTTTGCCTATAATTTTCTTGTTGAATTCCAACAAAAAAAATTCCAATTCGGTTAAGAATTTCATTCCAATTCAATCCAACCAAACGCAATCAAAAGACATGGTCAAATTCCATCAAATTCCATTCTATTTCCTCAAAGTCAAATTCATTTGATAAATTCCAATTCCATTGAATTCTATGCTACGAACCAAACGCCCTCTCAATGTTGTATTGGATTTCATGAGCTTTAGTGGTTAATGAGTTAGATTGGACTTAGCGGTTGTTAATAAACTATACTGGGTTTTCATATGTTTCAACGACCAATAATAAACAGTATTGGGCCTTATGGATGATAATGAATGGTAATAGACTTTACTGTTAATGAATTATATTGGGCGGACCTTAATAGGCTTTAATAGCTCATAATGAATTGTATAGTGCCATGTGGGCTATATTGGATGGTAATGAACTCTACTAGGATTGATGGCTTCAATGACTTTAATTGAACTATATTAGCTAAATATTTTATTAAATATATGTTTTGATTTTTAAAATATAAAATGTGACTAGGTTGGTTGCTAATATGTGTCAAATCTATATATATATATATATATATATACATATATATATTCTAGTTTCGATCCCGTGTATTACACGAGATAATTTGAAAAAATTAAATCATGTCAAGAACTTATCTTATAGATATGAATGATAATCGAAAGTACGATGCTACTTCAGACTTCTACTCTTAAAATAACTCCGAAGTATAACTCTGAAAAATGACTCTTCAGACTTGAATTTAGAAATAAAACTATATCAATAATTAGTTAAATGAAGTTAACCCTAAAATAAAATTATGTGTTATTTTGAACAAATATAGACATATTTTTGGCCAAAAAAGACCTTTTATAGCCGCCATGTTAACCAACAAAACTCGTCTTATAGAACTCTTTGACAACATCAGCAAGTGATAGCTGAAAGCTGTAACGATAAGTTGTCAGCGATAAGCTGAAAACTGTCTCTTCAGTTATGGCTGAAAGCTGTCACGATAAGCTGAAAATATAAGCTGAAGGCTGTCAGCAATAACATGTCACATTAGCTGAAGGCTGTCAGCTATCAGATTAGCTGAAGGCTGTCAGCGATCAGCTGAAAGCTGAAGGCTGTCAGCAATAACCTGTCAGATTGGCTGAAGGTTGTCAGCAATAACCTGTCAGATTAGCTGAAGGCTGTCAGTGATAAGCTGTTAGCGATAAGCTGAAAGCTGAAGGCTGTTAGCAATAACCTGTCAGATTAGCTGAAGGCTGTCAGCAATAACATGTCAGATTAGCTGAAGGCTGTCAGCAAGAACATGTCAGATTAGCTGAATGTTGTTAGCGATAAGCTGAAAACACAAGCTGAAGGCTATTAGCAATAAGCTGTTAGATTAGCTGAAGGCTGTCAGCAATAAGCTGTCAGATTAGCTGAAGGAAATTAGTCTGAACTAAATCCCGTTTAGTAGGGAAATCAGTTAAACCATGATAAAAAAACATTTTTAGAGGGACAGATGTCAATCAAATAGGCCTCTTTGAACCACTAATGTAAATTGTATCTAGATATATGTTTAGGAGGGAAAATAAGATAACCGACTCACCAGAAGATGACACGTGTCACCCAAGTTACTTATTTATTAGGGGTGTGTGTGTGTGTGTGTATATATATATATATATATATATATATATATATATAAGGAGCGATCAAATGCAAACCATCCATATTTCTACAAACCGTGCAAACCACCCTCATCCGTCGATTTCATTGTTTAATCTTATGAAATTGTTTAATTTTATGAAACTGTTTCAAACAATATTTTTTATGAAGCTGTTTAATATATGGTTATGAAGCTGTTTCATATATGGTTATGAAATTTTAATAAAACTGTTTCATGTATTTCTTTAAAATTAATGTAATAAAGATGATAATATCCATGATTAATACCCACCACAATAAAAATGATTAATCAACTTCT